ATGTGTAGAAGTTTTATTCCAGCATCTTTAACAATTTAAAAGCCTTATCATTGTTGTATGACAAGTACTAAATATTTAAGCAAGAAGGTGGACTTAAAGAAGAAAAAAATGTTCCCATTGACTTCACATGGGGATAACATTTGACCCAATACCTTCTGTTCTAGATCATATTTTTAAAATTTGGCCTGGAATGATACACCATTTTGTTACTTCTAGTAATGTGCAAAATTTCGTTAAAATTGGTCAGGTCATTACTTAGAAAATGTGTTCCAGCAATTTGTCTGTTTGAGTTACTGCCAAGGAAGCTTGCTCACTTCATTCGTTGCATTTCAATATGTAAAAAAAAATACAGCATCAAGTTGAAAATTTCATAAAAGCTGCTTATTGTTCAATCAATACTTATACATGTATTGAAAACTTTTCATAAAAAAGTAAATTTTTAACAAAAATAAAAAGAAAAATTTGTATAACAATGCATTACTGACATTATATTATTAACATTTGCAGTATTTCATTTATTTGTTACTTTAATGCATTTTATAAATGAATTTAAAGTGTATTTAGCATTCTTCATAGTACACTTCAGATATAAATAAAGAAGCAATAGTTTTCATTGATGGATCAATTCCTTATAAAGAAATCAATACTAAGTATTGATTCTTACTTTGGAGAATATTGCAGGTCACTACAATATAGAATCTTGACCATAAGATAATCTAGTGATATAGAAGCCACCAAACATTTAGTGCCTACTATACCACTCAGGGCCTAATTTAGACCTTTGCAAGCCCTAGGCAAAATAAATTTACAGATCCCTTTACAAATTTTGTATTACCACAAATATAAATAAAATTGTAATATTTAAAATTAAAGTAATTTTTATTTCAAAACAATTACAAACATAAAATAATCAATATATTAATACAAAAAATAATGATTTATGCATAAAAAACTAGAAAAAATAAATCATACAATTCTTTCTGATTTTCTATTCTGTCAAAATATCAATCAAAAAATTTTAAAAAAATGAAAAATAAATCATATAATTAAATAAATCAAAGAAAAGTCTGTCCAAGAGGGATCACCATTTATTTTGCATTCCAGACTACACATCAATAGAGACAGGCCTTCCTTTTTAGGCTTCATGCCGCCAAAAGGTAAAAAAGTCCTTTAAAAACACAAACAACCAATTAAAAGTAAAAGGAATCGGTAACACACAGACATCTTACTTCTCATCCATCTGGCCAATGGGTGGTTCTGCTTTATATCTACTAGAAAAGGCACTGGAAGATGTAATTTTTAAGCTGCCCCCTGGCGACGATGTACATCTTCCAGTGCCTTTTCTAGTAGATATAAAGCAGAACCACCCATTGGCCAGATGGATGAGAAGTAAGATGTCTGTGTGTCACCGATTCCTTTTACTTTTAATAGGTTGTTTGCGTTTTTAAAGGACTTTTTTATCTTTGGTGGCATGAAGCCTAAAAAGGAAGACCTGTCACCATTAATGTGTATGTGTAGTCTAGAATGCAAAATAAATGGTGATCCCTCTTGGACAGACTTGTCTTTGATTTATTTAATAATAATCCCGCCATCGGATGAAAAAATTCACCAAAAAAAAAATTATATAATTCTTTTTCTGATTTTCGATTCTGCAAAAATATTAATCAAAGAATTGTAATCTAATGATTTTGCTAACGCAGATTCTATACTTAGTATTGAAAGTGCAGATAATTTATCTTCTTTTATCAAATTTCTCCAATAAATTTTTAACTCTTTTCAATGTAGAGAAAGGTCTTTCACCACTAGCATTACTTATTGGTGTCGTAAGATACATTCTTAGAAGAATTTGCATATTGGAAAAGGTTGATATTTATGTATAACATATATGTATAAATGCTGTTTTATGCAAGGTTCTTATAATGGTTTTGCCTTGTACTTGAAATTTTTTTTTGCCTCATGTATAAATTCAATATTCTGATGAGGTTTGTTTCTAATGTAAATATTTTTCATCTCCAGCATTAAAACTTCTGGCCATTCACCAATATCATTTGAAAATGATTCATATGTTTTGCATAATAATTGCTCACTGTGATTGTTATTTTCTTCAGTTTTCAAAAAATTTTCAAGTTCTTCAACGATATCATCTTCATTTTGTTGTTTGAGATTTTTCTGTTCCTCAATTTTACTGTCCATTTCTTGATTTTGTGTTTTTTTAAATAAAAATGGCATTAAAGTATTACATTGCTTTTTGTTTTCTTCGTATTTTACTTTCTTTTTTAATCTTTTTTGATGACCACTTGCATGCTTGTAATTACCCATTTTTTATGGTCAACTTGTATCATAATATCTCAAACTATTAGTGATATCAAAAAGTTATAAACACAGAAATATAGCCCTTTAAAAACTGACTAAAGTGCATAAACATAAAAGTGATATAAGTTCAGTTATACAAGTTTTCACAGGACATACAGATATAAAGATAAACATTAAAATTACTTACTTATATTATAATGTATGTTAAACAGAAACATGCAAAACATGTACTTCAAAGAAAGAAAAATTATAACTGCAAAAACAGGTTATAATATATCCAATCCACCTAGTCAAACTCAGGGCCCTGACACAAAAACTACCTACAGAATGATGCCAAAGTTTCATTAGTGCCATCTGATCGCATCACCCAATTATGAAAAACTACATAACAATATAATTCATTCTACAAAAGTGTTAATTTAGTTGTAATTCATATTTTTATTTTTATATTTGAATATCTTACATTGTATTTTCGGAGCTAAAATAAAATTATGCAGCAATAAACATTATATTTTTCTCAACAAACACTGCTTTATTCTAAACTTCACTGAACATATCTAATGCACATATACAAACTTTATCTAATTCTCAGTGATGTTAGATGTTGGGGCAGTAGATAATGTCATTCTTAATTATTAACCCTTGAATATGGCACGCTAATAATATAGTAATACTAATAAAACAATGGCACATTTAGAACCTATTATGGGCCCTGGGCAAGTGCCTTGCCTGCCTTGTGCCAAATTAGGCCCTGATACCACTAGATATTAGGTGCAATATAGAATCATAACTGTAAAGTTATAATTGCACCTTTATATACTCGTGTAACCTTAAGGTTTTGTTATTTTTCAGTTTATTATGAGTACAGTTTTATATGTTATTTTCAATTTATTAATTTATTTTAATGATGTCATTTAATAATATAACATATTTCAAATGAAATGTGAACTAGGTTCAAATGATTTTGAACCATTATTATGTGTAGTTCAAACCTAAAGCTGACTAGTTAAATTAGCTGAAAATGTTTGTTTTTCAAAGTTTAATTGTTTTATTGCTTATTTTAATGGGGGGTTTGGTAGAAAATAATTACTTCTCTTCCTAGAACATTATCATATGTAAAAACAAAGAATAAATACTGTATTTTAAAGCTGAATGTAAAGCAAAATACATATCCTTTCTATTAAAAGTTTTTTCATATATCCTAAGTTGAAAAAAAAATCATAGTGGAAAATTACATTGTATGTGCACTACTCTACAATAATGGACCAAACAGCAAGATGTGATAGCAAAAGGTAAAGAATAAATGCTTTAATAGGAGGAGGGTCCCCCACATGTTGCAATTACACTAGCAACCCTTCTGGGCATACTTTCAACAAGATTTTGATACATAGCTTTGGGCATTTGTGTCCATTCCTGCTTCAAAAATGTCACCAGCTCAGCTGTAGATTTTGGACGTGGTTCCCTGGTCCATAAGCATCGCTCTAACTTGTCCCACAAATATTCTATTGTGTTTAGGTCAAACTCTGAGCAGGCCAAGGAAGACGGTTGACATCTGTATCTTGATATCACTGCTTGACAGAGGCTGCAATATGACATGGAGCTTTGTCATCCTGGAAGTAACATTCATCCATTCCATAAAATTGCCAGAGCTAGGAAGAACCTGATTGTCCAAAATGTTCATATAGGTATAGGTGTTCAATTTACCAGGAACAACATGCAAAGGTCCCAGGCCATACCACAAAAAACACACCCAAACAAGAACATCACCACCATCGAACTTGACAGGTGTCCGGTCCATTATTGTAGGGTAGTGTATATATAACAATGAACTGGTGTGTATATATTTGGTTTACTATCATAGTTATATCAAAATAACAACTCACCATTTCCTAAATAATGGGCAAAACTTCTTATATAAAATTGATTTCTATGAACCAGTTCTGTAAAAATATAGTTTATTTAAGAAAATAATAATAATTACAAAATAAATTGTAATGAAAACAATTTTAATAATATACATTTAAAATTATGTCACTAAAATCTGATTTTAAGCACTTACCTAATGAAATATATGGTAGATTGATATCAGTACAACTAATTTTATCAGCAATAACCAATGTAGAAATTATATTATGTTCTTTTTTTTCTTTAATGTCAAGCCCTAAATCCATTTTTAAGGCTTTTGGATTAACTTTTTTTAATTTTATTGGTGTAAGAAATAGCTTCAATGCTTCCTCTATTTGATATCTGTCTATATGATCTATTAAATATTAATTCATTTGTAAAAATTTATTACCATCTAATCATTATATTATTATTTTAGATTTGTCACAAAAATCTCTAAATTCTAATCATTCAAAAATTAAATAAAGCCATATAAATTATTTTAAAAACTACGAAAACTTTTTAACTGTTTCACAAATATTATGAACTCTTCTCAAAAGATTCATATTTCGAAACAACAACAGAAAAATGTTGTTTTGAAATATGAATGCTTGAACAGATCAGCACACAAACAGTCTTCTGAACAATTATATTTGAGTACCAAGTACAACTGTATTTAATTACTGTATGGCTAAAAATTAAATTAATTCACATATACAATTTACTTTCTTGACTATAACCCACATTCATAAAACAATAAAATTTTGAGAGCAGACACAGCATATTTTTAGTTACCATATTTTTGTGCATATAAGCTGTGATGATGTACTTATATAGTCTATAGAAAATAATTAGAATAAAAATAAACTTATGCATAACCTGCCCAACACTTACGAGAGCAGCCATTGCTTCATAAGTGTTTATGATTGCAATTTAAAATCAGCATATAACACACTCCCTTCAAATTATCTTTTACACATATATATGCACAAAAATATGGTATTATTATTCATTAATAAATGATATGTCATTACAGTGACAATTTTGAATTAATTAAAATACTGATATCTTTGGAATCAAATTACTTTATCAGAAATGAACTTTACTATGATACTTGTAAGCACTACGTCAGTGTTTCTTTATTATTAGACTTATTACATTGTCATTCGACACAAGACTAGCCTTAGAAAATCACTTTATTTCGAAAAAGAATGCATTTCAGACCGTAAGTCCCTCATCTGCTTTTTATAATGTAACTATATTTAGGAAATAAAACATATGGACTAGATTATGTTAACAGAAAGATTTAAGGTTGTAATTACTACATATTCATGGAATTGATACTACACATTTATGAAATGTACAATAAAATCACGGTGTTTGACAAAATACCAATAACAAATCATTGATTTCCAGATGTTCTTGTGTCGAATGATGGTGTAATAAGTCTAGTAATAAAGAAAGGCTGACATAGTGCTTACAAGAAATGAACTTTTTTATTGTGAACTTATGTTTAATTAAGATGATAATTAAAATTATCAAAAATTGAAAAATGGTAAGTTATATAGTTAAATTGTTTTTTATATTTTTATTTTTTGACAACTATTATAAAGTAATAATATGACAAGCAACTCAAGAGTTTGTAAAATAAAATAGTTGTTTCCTAAAAAATTCTACTATTTCTAATTCATTAGTTTTACATATCCACTTATAAGATGTTTTCTCTGCTTTTCAGACATCCAACTTATCAAATTTACACAACAGATAGCCAAAAACATAGTAACTCTTAAAAGGAATCTTATCCACTTTCATATTTTGTGCAATAACAAAGAAAATAATGTCTCACTAATGACAAATAGAATATATAAAATTCAAATCAGAAACAAAAAAAAAAATAATAATAAATATCCGATAAAATCAGAAAGTATATCTAAATGATTTCAGTAAAAAGAGATTACAGTTCAAATACACTTGAAATTCTGGATAAAAATGTGTTTTATGGAATAATACTCAAATCTTTGAACCTTTAAGATTAGGCAGTAAATACAGAATTTCAGAAACAATATACAGTGGTGCCTCGTATAACGTACGCCTCGAATAACGGACACTGCAAACAATGGACTTTCTGTTTGGCCATTACGTGACTCGAGCAACGGACTGACTGCGAACAACGGACTTTCTGCGAATAAGTACGAATGATGTTTCCACTCTTTTGCCGTTGCCAATGACAATCTGCTATTTTTATAATATATTAATATTATTAGAATATATTATTAGTATATCTGAAGTACAGAGCTCCCGTTGGAATTCGGCTTGCTCCCTTGTTTATTACGTACAGCACCTCAGTGCAGGGTATTTACATTTATTCAAGTGTTGTGCAAATCATGGCTTCTAAAAAAACAGAAAGGTGATTTCAATTGAAACAATGCAAGAAATCATCAGGAGTGAAAGTTGACAAAAACTTTCTTGTCGAATGGCGAGAGGTTCAGGAGTTTACTAACACTCATTATCCAAAGAGAGCTGAGGCCAACAGGATCAATGATCTCTACGATGACACCTTTGTCCGTCATTTCCGACAGGTGTTAAAGAAGAAAGTGAAACAGACCACCTTGGTCATGTTTTTCAAGAAGCCAGCGGGCAAAAAACAAAGGATGGAACAAGAGAAGTTGACCCTGCAAGTTCCG